ATCACACGCACTCCGACACACCCCCTCACGCTCCCCCCCTCTCCCCTGGGTCACCCGATGACGTCATGCTGACACAGGTGGCCTGCGACCGCGGCGACAACCTCGAGGCCGGCGATCTCATCGTGTTCGTCGAGGCGGGCGCCCCCAACGCGCCCCCGCTCACGTCGATCGACGCCGATCCTCTGGCCACCATTGACGCGGCCGCGGCGGGCGGGAACGGGGCCGCGGACGGGCAGCAGCAGGCGGCGGCGGCGGTTTAGAGGCGGCGGCAGATCGTGCGAGGAGTCGCTTGCGGGCGCCGGCGCCGCGCCCGAGAGCGGGTGGCCCCAGGCGGCGTCGAAGGTGCAGGGGAGGCGGCTAAATGGGGGGCGCGCTGCGCGCCCTGCTGCGCGGGGCCACGCGGGTTTGCGTGGTGCATCATCCCCCCCCTTCACACACCTGCCATGCGCGACAAAAAACCGAATACAGACATTATTTTGCAGGCTGCAACACGCGCTTCGTACGGATAGGGACTTGGCGTGATTGGCACTTTGCACAGCACAGGCACAGCACGAACGGCACGCGCAGCACAGATCACACCGGCGGCCGCGCCAAGCAGGACGTCGGGCCGCCGCTTGCTGCGCGACCGCGGGATCCTGCATGGAACGGCGGCCGCGGAGCCGGACCCGCCACAAAAGCGCGGGGCGGGCCGCGATTTGGTGGCTTGTATTCGGTCTCGGGGGTTCACGGGAATTCGCGCCGCGCGCCGCGCGCGGGCGCGCCGATGGCGCCGCGTCCTATTGGACAGTCTGTTGTGGTTGCTCGCCAGCCCTGGAGACCCTCATTGCTGTTGCTGTTGTCCTTTCGGCGCGCAGGGGGCGCGCGGCCGAGCCCGCTCCTCGGCGCCGCGCCCGTGCCCGCGCGGCCGCGGCAGCTGCTGTCTGCTCGGGCCCCGCGCCGGCGCCGCGGCGCCTGGGCGCTTTGCGGCGTCACTACCACCCAGGCGGCCCTCGCGCCCGCCCCGCCGGTGCCATCTGAAACACAATGCCTGTGATTGAGCGCGCACGCGCGTATCCTCTCATCGCCCTCCGGGCGGCCGCCCGCCCTGGACCCCGTCCCCCCCACCCCTCGCGACCGCCGGGCTTCCGCTCTCTGACGCAGGCGGGG